TTCTGGCTTTTACGAGCCATTTAAAAAAAAAAAAATTTCAAATTCCAAAACCTTAAATTCACATCCTTTTTCAATCTTTATCACGGTGATCCCGAAATTCTGATCTCTGGCTCACCAGAATTCAAACACTTTATGTTTTTGTTCACCCTCCCAACCAAATGACTGAAAGCCATCACACAGTTGTACTTTGAAAGCAATCACATAGTTGTACTTTGAAAGCCATCACATAGTTATACTTTGAAAGCCATCACATAGTTGTACATTGAAAGCCATCTCATAGTTATACTTTGAAAGTCATCACATAGTTGTACTTTGAAAGCCATCATATAGTTGTACTTTGAAAGCCATCACATAATTGTACTTTGAAAGCCATCTCAAAGCTGTACTCTGACAGCTGTCACATAGGTGTACTTTAACTGCTATCACATAGTTGTCTTTTTGGTACAAGTAAATTATTATATTTCTGTCACAGGGCTGCCTCTGTCGTACAAGCCAGACAAGCAGCTGCCATGAAAAAGTACGATCTGACCAAGTGGAAGTATGCTGAACTCAGAGATGCTATCAACACATCCTGTGGTAAATTTATTCATGTCTTCATTTCAACTACAACTTATTTCACTGCAACCTATACATTAGCTCGTTGTAATCACAGCATTGCCTTAAAGCTCTCTGCAAGTTCTGTTTGTTTAATTCTTCATCAAGATTTTCAACAGTTAGGTCATGATGAAAAGCGTCAAAGCAATTAGAGCTACTTGAGGCTGAGAACAGAATGGAGGTCAAATAATCTTCTGACTTGTCCAGATTACTTGTCTATATAAAAGCTCCTTTAAGAAAATGCTCCACTCCTATAAAAAAAATCCGACTCTGCAAACCTTGACAGCACCTCTGGTTTGTTAGTTTCTCTAACCAGTATTGTTAAATTATTTTAGACATCTGAGGTTTCAGTTTCTCTAACCAGTATTGTTAAATTATTTTAGACATCTGAGGTTTCAGTTTCTCTAACCAGTATTGTTAAATTATTTTAGACATCTGAGGTTTCAGTTTCTCTAACCAGTATTGTTAAATTATTTTAGACATCTGAGGTTTCAGTTTCTCTAACCAGTATTGTTAAATTATTTTAGACATCTGAGGTTTCAGTTTCTCCAACATTATTTTAGACATCTGAGGTTTCAGTTTCTCCAACATTATTTTAGACATCTGAGGTTTCAGTTTCTCCAACATTATTTTAGACATCTGAGGTTTCAGTTTCTCCAACAAGTATTGTTATCTTTTTTTTTAGACTTGGAGATGCTTGACGCCTGCCGCGAGGAGTTCCACCGCCGCCTGAAGGTTTACCATGCCTGGAAGACGAAAAACAAGAAGAGGTCAGACAAAGGTGACCAGCGGGCACCCCATTCTGTCGAGGCCAGCGGTAAGTAATCTACTGATGATGTGTTTGAAGTGAGTCACCAGCATTTAAGTTGAGCGAGCGAGTTATTTGTATGAAAGTTTAAACAAAATTAATATTAAAATACTGTAATTTTGTATATACAACACCTGCTATCTAAATGTAAAGAAGACAAGAAGATTAACAAAATCTTAAATGTGCATGCTTAAAGAACTAGTTATCTTAAATAGAGAGAAAAAAAAAGTTAGAATAATAACTAGCCCACTATTAATAATAATGACCTCTCCCTGTTGACAATAATAACCCCCTTCCCCCATTGATAATAATAACCTCTTTCTTTTAATATTTGTTCTTTTTTGTGGGTGCATTTTTGGTGTTGTGAGTATTTGTGTTAGCTGTTGCTTGATGCTTTGTATTTTGTGACGTTTTTGGGTATGGGAAATGGCTGTTAGTGAGGACGGGATGGAAGAAGATGGTATAGCAGGAATGGAGTTGCAGAGTGAGGATGGGATGGAAGAAGATGGTATAGCAGGAATGGAGTTGCAGAGTGAGGATGGGATGGAAGAAGATGGTATAGCAGGAATGGAGTTGCAGAGTGAGGATGGGATGGAAGAAGATGGTATAGCAAGAATGGAGCTGCATAATGAGGACGGGGTGGAAGAAGATCGTATAGCAGGAATGGAGTTGCCAAGTGAGAACGGGATGGAAGAAGTTGTTTATTTAATAAAGAGACATTTGTCACATGTTTTTTTTTAAATAATTAAATTACCCTAGACAATGAAGCTATTGAGCTGTTAATTACCAGTTCGTAACACCCCCCTGTTGATAATAATAACCTCCCCCTGTTGGTAATAACCTTCCGCTGTTGATAATTCTAATCTCCTCCTCCCCAATTTTGTTTAAACTGCATAAAACCTTTTTTTAATACATTTTTTATTATAAATGAGAAAATTCACAACTGAAACAATCTTGCAAAATACACTCAAAGGGGTGTTGTAGCTTTGTATGCCACATAAATACATGGCTTAGTAATCAGACATCTAATTTAACTTTCATTATCTAACACTCAATGCCTGTTACGTCAATGTTGAGTCGACATTTAATCTTTACCGAGGCCGCACAAATATCAAAGTATTGGGTATTTGACCATACAAAGCCCCACAAATATCAAAGTACTGTGTGTTTTGCATTTATCAAACTTGGTATATTTTACATTAAATCGGGTAATGAGCACTCTATTTATATTGCAATACTGTTCCACTAAAGGTGAAAAAGCCCAGGTTCCAGCACCTCCAACCAGAGGACCAGCTCCGGGCAATGCTGAACAGCGCTATTTTAGGATCCCATTTGCCCGTCCTGCAGATGAGTACCGTGAGGAGACCAAGCACGGTATGTGGTACGCTCATTTTGATGGTCAGTGGATCGCCAGACAGATGGAGATTTACCCTGACAAGACACCTATACTTATGCTTGCAGGTGAGCAAGAACAATTATATAACATCAACTTTTGTTAATATTTTTAGTCTTTTCTTCTTCTGTAAACAGCTACGTTAAACAAAGAAAGGGTTCTCGATTTGAGGCCTGTAGCTTATAAGTTCTTTGAGGTTATCTTTTTGAGTTGGATTTTTCAGTTTTCTTAGTGTTAAAACATCCGGATGACATTTGAACTGGGCTCTTGTAGGATTTTGAACTGCACTAAATAAATAACCTTGAGATTTGAAATGGAGTTATTTCATTGTATTCCCAGGTGTGGATGATCTCCAGATGTGTGAGCTCTCTATTGAAGAAACTGGACTCACCCAGAAGAAGGGGGCGGAGATTTTGGAAAATGAATTTGAGGAAGAGTGGAGCAAGCACGGAGGTCAAAATGTGCTGAAGGCTAATGCCAAGAAGTTGTCTTCAAAGTTCTTACAGAAGAAACTGGGTATAGCCAAGTAACTGTAGTTGGAAGTGCTCGACTGGGTTGTCTCATCCCTTTTCTCTTTAACTAGTGTGTCATCAATTGTAAATTTGTTGTTTCATATGTCAGACTGTACGGTATACATCAGTTTACTGTTGACAGCAGTAACTTAGTTGTTTTTCATAAAAAAAGAAAATGTATCATATGAAATTTGTCAGTATATTATCATATTGTTTAAAAATTTTGGAAATTTAATTTATTCTCTTGACAAAGTGTGATTGATGGGGATAAACCACAGATGCTATTTATTCTCAGATTTATATTGTTTTAGAAAAATTGTTTAAACTTTTGTGATATGATTTGCTACACTTTTGATAACTTTTGACAATCACATGTGATTAGATTCATTTATAGACAACTCCTATTTTACTCAAACAAATAATTGAGTTTTTTCACAACTAGTCTAATAACTGCAAAGAAAATAGTAAGCTTTTCACCTCAAATTGTCCCCGCCACTGTTCTGTAACAAATTTTTAAAATATATTTAACTGACAGTGTCATCCTTCTCTTTACAAATGAAAGTATAAGTGGAGTCAAAGAATAAAGCAACTAAATTTAAAGATTTAAAAGTGAATTTTTTTTACATGTAAAAATATTCAGTACGGTATAAAAGTATATATTCTCTTTCATGCTTGCTTTTTGCTTAAAGATTTAAACATCATTAGTTTTAGAATGAAAATTTTAAATGTTGACCTATGACCATTTCTGATTGTCAAATTTTGTGTAAACCACTAAGTCTAAATGTGATTGACCTGCCTGGCCCATTTATGTGCCTTCAAATGAACTGGTGAGAAAGTCATACTGGAGAGCCACTGAAATCCCTACTCTTTCATATATTAAACCATTGGCTTATATTATGATGGGTGGGGCTAAGATATTAACTTTTACTATGATGGGTGGGGCTAAAACATTAACTTATGATGGGTGAGACTAAGATATTGACATTTTATGATGGGTGGGACTGAGATATTGACTAATATTATGATGGATGGGACTAAAACATTTACTTATATTATGATGGATGGGACTAAAAAATTGACTTATATTATGATGGATGGGACTCAAACATTGACTTATATTATGGGTGGGACAGGAGCTCATCTTGATGTGTTCACATGATTTTGTTTTGATTTCAAGTTTCTTCAAAAACACAAAGCTCCACTTAGTTTGGTAGTTTCTTTACACGGTGGCATAATTGGAAATGTTGGTATATAATTTTTAAAGATTCAAATTCTCTTTGCTTTTTTAAAATGGTAATTCTATTCTTCATTGATTGCTAAATTCTTCTCCAGGTTCAAAGTTTTGCTGAAAACCGGAACCTAAAACAAATATTTAAATAAACCTGCCTATGTCCAATGTTCAAATAAACCTGCATTTGTCAAATAAACCTGCTTATGTCAAATGTTCAATTAGTTTATGTATCAGTGATTGACTTAAGTTTAAATTTACCAGTTGTTCAGTAGTTGTATAAGACTTGATGAACCAAATCCACATTTTGGTTAATGCTCGGATGTCACTCATGTACAATGTTATTTCAACAATTGAATGTGTTTTTGGTGTGAGTTGAAGGTTTCAACTACAACTGTAAGCCAACAAATATATCCTACTACTTTGCATAGTAGAACTGTCTCTACATGACTTTACTGTACAACTTGTGACATTTGGAAACATTTTATTTTTATCTTTTGATAATAATCAGTTGTGTTTTTTTATTTAGAATAATTGTTCAATGTTAGCAAACCGTTAACTAAGTGTTGTTTATTTTTAAGACCAAATCTTTTGTTCAATTGTGACCAACCGCTGCACAATGAATGTTTTATACAGTAGTCTATATTAAGCTCTGGCTTCTTTTGTCGTTGCCAGCCACTAGTGTTTAGTTCTCTGCAGTTTTCACTCTCGGCCACATGTAAAATTTTCTTTATACATATGATGCACATGTTATGGGTTTTGGGCCCAAATGACAGGAGCAGCATGTTAAGTTAGGAAGGTGCCATGGTTGTGCTACTAAAATGTGGGACTACTACCAGTCATCATAAATCTCTGCCATGAGATCACTAACATTAGAGTGCCACCCTAGTTAAGTACATCTTTATATCTTATAAGTCTAAATTTGTGACGTGCTAACCATTACCTCCATTAGGGCTCTACTAATAGATATTTATTACTCCATTACGGCTCTACTAATAGATATTTGTCCTTTATAAATGTAGTTTAGAAGTTGGTATGGATTTAAAATCATATCCACAATTGTTTATACTAGCAAAACCCAAACATTCCAAGTGGTTCTGTCTATCATTTGGGCCTTGTTTTAATGTTGTATTTCTGCATGAGGTCTCATAGCAAGTCTAATTCATTTGAAGAAGTGTCATTCTAATTTGGATAAATTTATGACAGACTTAAGTTGTGTGTGTGCTTGGCTTCATATTTTGAATTTATTGTTGAAAACTTTTACTTGGGATATTTCTAGGCAGTGTGCCGGACTCTCAATATTTTAAACAATTTTTGGTAGTATGTGCTTTGACAACATTTTGTATTGTATGTTTGAGAACTTTTCAGGTTTACGAGTCGTAGGATTTCAATTAATTCCTTTAACCAACTACATGGCCTAACTTTGGTTTTCAAATGCTGCCAGAGTACGTAGGGACACAACAGGGGATGCGCTACTACAAACCAATAAAAGCACTGTTAAATCAACTACAAAGTTATAATGGATGCTGGTTGTAGCTCAGTCAGAAATTAAGCACATGATGAGTCTGCTGATGTTAAACTACAAACATTGGTTTAGTATCTGCTAACTTGCTGAACTACAAACATTGGTTTGTTATCTCCTAACTTGCTGAACTACAAACATTGGTTTAGTATCTCCTAACTTGCTGAACTACAAACATTAGTTTAGTATCTGCTAACTTGCTGAACTACAAACATTGGTTTAGTATCTCCTAACTTGCTGAACTACAAACATTGGTTTAGTATCTCCTAACTTGCTGAACTACAAACATTGGTTTAGTATCTCCTGAATTACACATTTTAAGGAACCACACACAAAACAGGCTTTTTAAAAAATGTAATTTTATTTGAAAAGATTTTTTACAATACCATCATACATGGCATTAGATGTTGCATACTATATCTTTACATTAAGTGCTTTCAAATTCAATGGTTTTACATTTCTGTTTTATCAGTTTAGCCAACTAAAAAGACTGTAAATTAAATATGCTGTTTGTGAAGATGATACATTGCCTATGAGATTTTTGGCACCCAGGTCTTTTATATATTGTACCCTTGTTGTAGTACACATTCCAAATTGTGAAAATTATACAATTGTGAAATCTGCTATTGTCTTGGTTTTATTCTTTGACAGAACTGTGTGGTAGGAACAATTTGTACAAAGTAAAAAATGTACACATAAAAATTCATTCACTTGGAGACATAGAACTTGAGCTTCTTGAACTTTTTCATCTTTCAATGAATATCATTTAAATCATCAGGCCTGCACAACTCAAAATGTAAGGCGGACCGTATTACTTCATGAAAAACTTGTGCGGGCCGTAATACTTAATAAAAAGCTTGAGCGGGCCAAAAGATGATAGGACAGGGGGAAAGCTATTAAGAAAATACTTCGTTATTTCGCGGCCGCCAAGTGGGTGCTGGCCTGATTTAAATTAAGTAATTTCATAGTCATTTTCTACAGAGTCCACTATTTTGATTGAAGCAGTCTGGCCCCAGAAGAATTTTTTTAAATGTATAATAACCATGCAACTTCCCCATTATTGATATGATAAAAGCAAAGACCTGGTCAAAAACATTCCCTGGTAAAAGTAACACTTTAAACTATACATAATGAATTAATGTGTTGGTGTCACCAGTAATCAGGCCCAATACATTCATTCAAACCCTTCTTCTGTGGTCTACTGCAATTTTTCAACTGTCTTCAAGTACTGAAACCAAACACAAATATAGCCACATGATGCTGGTAGATGTCATGGCCTCTTGATTGCTACTCAGATGGAGGATGAAAGTTGCAGATGGAATGTCAATAGTCAGACATTCATCACATTCAATATTCACTTCACTCATGTGTTAATTCTGTCTCTCTGAAAAGCATGCAAACAAATTTAAATAGGTGTTCTGACAAAATGATTCTGTGAAATGACGGCTCCCTGACATATGATTGCAGACAATGAGTTTAACTGGCAGACAAGTTCTCCACACAGATGGCTATGCCCATCCCACCCCCTACACACAAAGCAGCCACACCCTTCTTTTTATTGTGAGCTATGAGAGCATAGATCAGCGTGGTCAAGATCCTGGCACCTGAGGCTCCAATAGGATGACCAAGGGCTATGGCACCACCATTAACATTGACCTGGAAATTGAGAAAATTCATTTGATAACAATCTTTGATCAACTACACAACAAATCAACTCAAGGGTCAACATTTAATGATGACAATCTTTTATCAACTACACAAGATATGAACTCACAATGACTTGCAAAAAAGAAAAATTATGCTATAACTTAGACAATTAATTCTGCCTTGAGCATGACATGGGGAAATAAATCATTACTGGTGAGCACAGATCATTGTCATTAATAAAATAAAGTTTAATTTCATTTTCAACTTAAGTTAACTATAAATGGCACATCACTGTAACAAGCAGGTGAGATAGATTACATGGGACTATGGCAAAATGCTGTAACAAGCAGGTAAGATACATTACACTGGTCTTTCTAACACAGTGTTTCTCAACATTCCTAAGGCCATAACTTTTTAATACAGTTCATGTTGTGATGACCCCCCTACCATATTTTTATTGCTTCTTCATAAATATCTCTTAGCCACCCCTGTATAAGCATTGTTTGATCCCGAAAGGGGTTGAGACCCACATGTTGATAACTGCTGAGCTAACAGAAGGCTCCATTAATTCAATCATTTCAATGGAAACAATTTTTTTTAAACAGCTTTTACTTCTTAAATCCTTTATTTTTTTAGCTTTGCTTTTGTTCCATGTGTTTGTGGCAAAGTATTCGGAAGGCTAATTGACCCACTTCCCGTCATCCTATCGAGTTGAAAATTGGTACATAGACTCAATGACAACACAATCGATCAATTTTCACCCCCGTAAATAAATTTTTCCAGAGGGGAGGAATGTTTTTTCAATGGGTGTGTGTTGGTTAAATGATTAATTGTGCAGATGTTGCTATGGGCTTTGTATTTGTGATGTATTTGGGTATACAGCAATTTTAGAAAACGAAAATGAAGGACATGTGAAACGGGTTTTCTTTAGAAGTTTACCCATTGACATAACCACTTCCTAATTAATGATAAATCACACACAGTTACATCAAAGCAAACACAAATGCATATAAAGGGTTGTAACAAAAAACTTTTTGTTGGGTTGTTTAATTTTGTTTTTTTTATTACTAAACTTTGTATCAAGAGAGTAACCAATTATTTTAGACCACACCAAATGGTTGGCTGACCATGAAGTCCATTCTGACAGGGTATCAGCAACAATTCATATCGCTAAGACTGAGAAGATGTATGATGGACTAAACTTAACCCTATAACTATGACTGTAAAGTGAATTTTTCTCTTGTGTCAAGCCATTTTTAGCATTTTCATATGCTTGTTAATAGTGACAAAATCCCATACTAAATGAATTCAGAGATTCTTATAGGTATATATTTTCTGAAATGACATAGGAACAAGAATTTGTTTTTATATTTTATATATTTTGATATTGACCTTGAACTTACAGAGTGAGTAAAATTTTACAACACAACTTCTGAATTTAATTAAACCTAATACTCCACAAATTCTTCTAACTATAATAAAATCAAGTTTTTGAGATACAAGAAGCACTATTCTTTCAGATAATGTCAAGTTATGGGAACTTATATTGGAAATTGTAATATTGGTGAGTTTTGTCCATTCACTTCCTCCAAAGTCTATCATACAAAACACACGGGGAAAGGGATAAAACACAAGGGGAAAGGGATGAAACACAAGGGGAAAGGAACAAAATGAGTTCAAAAATTTCTTTCAATTGAAGTTATTATATTTTTTTTTAAAAATTAATAAATACTCCAGAAGGTACGCAAACATAATGTCAAGGTAAGAGGGTAAGTCTTTGGTACCCAATCTTTGTCTTTTCTTTTCGACTTCCATCTCTTCCCAAACAAATTTGTCTGTAACAATACGACTAAGCTTAGCGCTAAAATTGTCAATATCTGACTCCATCCGTGTTGCCATCACTGATAATGTCATTACTAGCACATGGAATATCTGAAATAATTGCTTTCATTTTAATCCGTTTGCAATAATTCCAATAAAAAGTCTGTGTTCATTATACAAGCTAGAAAAGAGGGGCAGACAAAACTAACCAACTCAGCAACTTTCACACACACACAAAACATCCCACGATAAAAGCATGTTAACACAGAAAGAAACAGAAATGGGAAGCAAACTCTTTTACATTGAGTGATTTCCCCTTAACCAACATACCGGTACATCAAAATAATGGGCAGTGACACCACAGAAAAGGGTTTAACAGCCGCTGATCTGCGGTTATGGCAGTTATAAGGTTAATTACAGCAAACAAATTTTTTAGCCACGCTGAATATCAAGATCTGATTCGAATAATGTTAATGTCTTGGTTTAGTAACTATTAGACCAGACTAGCGCTCACATGGGGGGCTGGGGACATAACCTGAGGCCACCAGTCCCCTACGACTCTCATTTTTATGTTCTATCAATTTAGTTGTATTTATTCTCCTTTGCAATCCCATCCCATTAATTTTCATAATTGACGTTACAACTTAATACAGAATGAGTACACACCTTAGCCGGGTCACAACCCAAGTCTTTCACAACTGCTAAAGACTGTGCTGCAAATGCTTCATTGAGTTCAAACAGATCCACATCTTCCAGTTGCCAGCCTGCACTCTCAAGCTACAAGAGAACACAAGTTGTAATTCTTTTGAGGAAAAGTTTATTTTTCGTGAATACAAAAAAAAAGTATACTTTTGGCCTAGTATTAGTATTCATCATAAATCTCAACAGACTTAGACTTCTTCCTATCAGCTCAGCCAATAGACCTATTCCCATCAGCTCAGCCAATAGACCTCTTCCCATCAGCTGAGCCAATAGACCAGAACAGTGCCCTCCAGTGACTATAGTATCTGTCTTCTTATTAAGGTGCAGCTATACAGCAGCTTTATGACAGGGAATTCACTCTACAATATTAATAGCGCATTACAAAATTTCCCCAAAATTATAGCTATGACATTGATTGTTAAAATGTTTGACTTCAATCCTCATAAAAGTATAGTAACACCTGACACAATACGGGTGTATCATTTACACATGAACTTTATCTTACAGCACTGAAATGTGCACATAATTTGCACAAGATTTGCTGGTAGGTATTTGTAAACCCTAGTTTACAGTCTCAGACAGTATAGTTATTGTTCAATCTGGTTTACAGTCTCAGACAGTAATGATATTGTTCAATCTGGTTTACAGTCTCAGACACTAATGATATTGTTCAATCTGGTTTACAGTCTCAGACAGTAATGATATTGTTCAATCTGGTTACAGTCTCAGCCAGTAATGATATTGTTCAATCTGGTTACAGTCTCAGCCAGTAATGATATTGTTCAATCTGGTTTACAGTCTCAGTCAGTAATGATATTGTTCAATCTGGCCAACAGTCTCAGACAGTAATGTTATTTTTCAATCTGGTTACAGTCTCAGACAGTAATGTTATTGTTCAATCTGGTTTACATTCTCAGACAGTAATGACATTGTTCAATCTGGCTAACAGTGAATGATTCAGCCCTTGGAACAGAGAAAACAAAACTCACAGCTTTCCTGGTGGCTGGAATCGGTCCTGTTCCCATGACAGATGGATCCACACCAGCTTGCGCCCATGCAACTATTTTAGCCAATGGTTTGAGACCCCTCCTGGTTGCTTCCGCTTGACTAGACAGGATGATGGCGGCAGCTCCATCATTGATTCCTATCATTTCAAACATAAAGGTAATTACATCATTTATAATCCAACGTACAACCTAAGTAGTAAGAAATTTATCGATGTAAGACAGCGTTATAATTATCCACGGAACTAACTATTAATAAAGTTTAAAAAAAATTTAAGTTGGCAAGTGATAAAAAGGAAATGTAAAATCTTTATTTGTTCCATGAGAAAGAGAGACAGGTTGATTGTGTAACAATAATGGCCCTGTATCATATTATGATTATGTAATCACATGATGGCATGTATCATATGATTGTGTAACTCTGATGGCACGTAAAGCACTACAAATAAAAGCATGTTATCAACCAGGGGTTTGCCCACCTGAAGCATTTCCAGCCGTGACAGAACCATCTTTAGCAAATGCTGGTCTTAATTTCTGAAGGCCTTCTAAAGTACAACCTGCCCTTGGGAACTCGTCCACTTTAACCTCTTTTGCTCCTGAAGACAATGGTTGAAAACATTTATTTTCTGACATGTTCCATTAAACAAAAAATTTGTCACTTTGGAAAAGTATGTTAAATTTATTACCGTAGTGATTTCATTAGTGGACCTTAGTAATTGTCTTTTGTTTACAGAAAAAAATATCTATAAATATATAGAAAATACGAAATAGGAATGCTAATATAAAATGTAAAACAAAATACAAAACTAAGAGTGAGTAAACAGCAATGGAACAAATTGATAGCAGTCAGTGTCCTAGGAGGATGGGGTCGGGGAGGGTGGTATGTCCCATGGGGCACTTTTGTGGTCAGGGATTTTATTCCCTTGCATATGCTATAAGATCTGGTTCTCTTTGATTGGTATATTCTGCAGTTTTCAAGAGAGATAGACAGCAAAGACAAGTTTAGCCCTGGGCGTCACAAGCTCTAGTAAATCCACTGGTATCTTGGAGTAGACATACAAGAAAACTGATTCACTCATGAAAACTCCATAGTATCCAAATGTTAGACACAACTGCACAGACAGATCACATAAACTATATATATTGTTAGGCTATCAAATACGCAACATACACCAAAGAACAACAATAAATAATTCAAGTTCTGCATAAATGCTTTTTACCTTCCCTTGCCTGTACAATGTACATGGATAATTACTTTCCCTTGACTATACAATGCACATGAAAAATTACCTTCTCTTGACTGTACAATGACTGGGACTATTTCCTGTTCAAAGCTGCCATTTTTCTGGGCAGCCTCACATTTGAGCTGCGAGTTGAGGGCGAATTTGTTTTGTTCTTCTCTTGTGATGTTCCACTGTGTAGCCACATTCTCAGCTGATTGGAACAAAGATAAACAGAGGATAGCCAGATAGCCACATTCTCAGCAAATTAAAACAATAATAAATGGGGGATAACCAGATAGCCACATTCTCAGCTGAATGGAGCAATAATAAGTGGGTCAATTTAAGTACCAAATTAATATAATGAAATACTTCAAGATGTGTATTTTTGATAAAAAAAGTCAGAATATCACTTTTTTAGGATGGCTATTACTAGATCTCAACAAAAGTAACATTTACACTTGGTGAAATATAGAAGTAACTCTATAAGGTTATTAACATTAATCACGATTCATTTAAAGTTTTTACTAAACCAACTGCATACCCGTTATTCCCATATGATAGTTGTTGAAGGCATCCGTGAGGCCATCTAACAGCATCGTATCTGTCAGAGTGGCATCTCCAAATTTTGTTCCGCCTCTGATGTGAACACAGTGGGGTGCCTACAGTTAAAGTTAGCATTAAAAAAATACAAATTCTGTGCAAGTTATCAACAAATCAAAATTGTTGTTTATTAAAATTGCTACTAAGTATTTCAATTACAATTATTTGTTACAATCTTTCACTTTGCAACTCTATGGTACCAAAATAGAAAAAACAGACAAATAAATAATCAAATTTAAGCTTAAAATAATCTAATTCATGATATTTAATATCAACACCATAAAATCAGTTGGAGATTGAATTTTTAATAATTTTAATTTTTTTTTTTAATGTTAAGTCTTTTCCCTTTCATCAAAGAAATAGAATGGTGGCTTCTGTGACTTTTAAATATAAGATCATTTATTGAATCTAAATATTTCATTACCTTACTCATGCTCTCTTGCCCACCCGCCACCACGATAGTAGAATCTCCTGCTTTGATGGATTGTGATCCAAGTATCACAGTTCTCAGTCCTGAGCCACACAGCATATTTACACCACATGCTGGTACAGAATAAGGAATACCAGCTTTCACAGATGCTTGACGAGCAGGGTTCTGGCCTTGGCCTATATTACAGTGATTAAGAGCAGTAAATACAAGGTATCAATAAGTAACTGACTGACTTATAAAAGTGAAATATAATATGCCACACTGAGAAATGACTTGCACAGATGTTTAAGGATGTAAATATTTGCATATATTTCTGAACACTTACCCCAATTTAGACCAATTTAAACTGACTTTTTAAAGACACAATGACACTTTTATGACAATAAATCAGATCTTATTTGAAAATGAGCATACCTCCTGTGAGAACTTGGCCAAAGATAACCTCAGAAACTTCTTCTCCTCTGATACCAGCCCGCTTTAATGCCTCTTTGATTGCAATACTTCCTAAATCATGTGCAGTGAAACCAGAGAGCGCCCCATTGAAAGAACCTGCAAATTGGATAATGAATAGTTAAAGTCTATAAAGGGTTTAAATTTTTTATTTATGTAACTTAATTTCTAACAGGCATAGGGTAGGCCAAATGAATGCTATCATAGGCCCAGGACTATTTATTATAATAATTAGCCCTATAATTATAACCTATCAATACTATAATAGAATTTGTTGTGATGGACATGGTTACACTGGATAGGTCCTACTTAAAATTAAAAGTCACAAAAAATGTGGTCCTAGTTGACTCCAAGTAGTCTTTAGTAGTTATTGCTTATTGTTAGTTAATTCTAAGTTATGACAAAATTTGACAAAATGCACAGTTTAGATAACTTAACTAATTAGTAATTAATATACTGATTATAATTATAATGTCCCTAAATTAAACTATTTAATATAACTATTCTGACTATATATAGACAACATTAGTCTATTGTTAACTATAGCCTATATAATATATAGGATTAGAGTGTTAGAACTTGGAATTAGAATAACTTATTATAGGCAGAGATAGGGCAGGCCATAGTTAACTCTGAATCTCATTATTGATTATTCAATATTTTTGTGACATTAGCCTTAGCCTCATCATAATCATAGCCACTATTAAAGAATTGCTTTGCCAAATTTTGCTTTTGAAGAGTGTAAATCTAAACCTTAAGCCTGTAGTCTATGTTATGCCTAGTAGTATCAGTATCAGTAACTTTTGACAAGAGAAAAACCACACAAAAAGCGCACTACTCCGTGAGTGAGTACTCGTATTATTTTTTAAAGTAATTTTTACAGTTACAGTGTTTAATTTTAAAAATCCATTCAAGTTTGAGCCATGCAATGATTCAGTACAATTTTCCTGTGTTATTGTTTTTTAAAATAAATTACCAATAGGAGTTCTTGCAGCAGATAGAATGACAACGTCAGACATCGTAAATGTGAAAGTTCCCTAAAAAGTTACAAGAGATTCAAAACGTTCAGTGTTTGTCGATTTGCTCTAAGCTAGCAGAATATCCCGAGTGTCGTATCATGGAGAGAATGAATGTTTGTGAATGGATTGGTTGAAATTGTATGACATGATACGTATTTACCATGCGCAGTGAACCTTGTATTGACATCTGACCCATTTCCAGCCATTTATTAACTTCACTGTAGGAGATTGGAGATATTAATTCAGTATCAGTAAGACTAGGCAGTAAGAGAAAACGAAACCCAGATATTTAAAATATAATACATATATTATATTTATTGGAGGATGGTCAATAAATTGCTTTGAATAGAGTTCAAACAAATTTTACCATCACTTTACAGTTGTATCGATTCGTACGAAAATGTGTTTATTTTTTAAAAATATTTACTGATTAATACACATGCGCAAAGAAACTCTGTTTTGACCCACTGACCTATTTTTGGATATTTAAACTTCAGTTTTAGAAGATCTTAAATCCTATGTAGTTGATGGGAAACCGAAAGTCGAAGCGAAAAAGCCATTAATTATGTTGGTTAGGTATCGGATCGATCATGAACCGAGAAGCGAGCGACATCTGATGGTAAGAATATTCAAGTTTAGATGCGGATGATGATATTTCACACAAGTGTAAAATTACAATTATCACTCATCCTGAGGCTCTGAAGCGCATCTCAACACATCTCGCTGGTCGAGGGTAAGTGTAAAAAAAAGCATTTTCATTTTTAATTTTAGTAATGAGAATTTTAGTGATATACGTAAACGTTTTTCTCTTCCTGATTTAATTATTTTTTAACTGAAATATAGGCAGGACTATTTAGTAACCGCCCCCCCCCCCCTGGTTTATTACTCAGTGACCGATATGGGGGGCATCTTTGGGGTTGTTTTTATGTTTAATGTATATATTAATTATCTATATGCATGTATGTTAGTGTGCTAAAAATGACAAACCCAAGAGTTCACCACTAATGACTAAAAAAATAATAATGAATGGGCCTACAACTAATTGTTAGCCTATAATACCTACCTTAAATTCTTAAATCCGGTAAGTGAAAGTAAAATATGTTCTTATTTGAAATGATACAAACAAATCATTGTTTATCACAGTCCTATGGTTGGCATGCCAATGCGCACCAAAAAAGCTATTAGCATAATGCAGGAATATTGATTTTTCTTTCTTAAAGCATGGAGTCATATAAATAGAAAAATATGTATGTATTATTAGTAATAAAGCTTATATTATTTATTTTATTGTTGTTGTTTTGTTGTTGTTTTTTTTAGTTTATGAAATGATAACTTGTTACTGTGTTAACATTTAGTTTAATTTTTAACCAAGGAGTTAGAATTTAACCAATTAATTTGCCCTGGTAAAAGTTCAAGCTGCAGGCAGACACACTGCATCCATGCGTGGGAAACAATTGTGAACGATTGTTTCAACAATGTAAAGAAACATGTTCAGCCCCATGATTTAATTACAATGTGAAGGGAGCTAAAAAAAAATGCGCATATTTCATTTTTACGAATTATTTTAAGCCACTATCAACAAACAAAAAAAAAAAAAAAAAAAAAAAAAAAAAAAACCAAAAAAAAAAAAAAAAAAAGGGCATTTTTCATTTTTAAAAATTTTTTTAACCCACTATAAAAAAAAAAAAAAAAAAAAAAAAAAAAGAACAACAAACAAACCAAAAAAAAAAAAAGAAAAAATGAATAGATTCATTTTTAAAAAAAAATCATGAGCCAAATTACCAAGTTCCCAGTTATCATTTTTCTTGATTTCCCCGGGATTTTGTCAAACAAAAATTGTGTATTTCAATACGAATATGGACGTCTTTCCCCGCATGACTTCGCCCCTTTTACATAGTTTTAAGTGCAGAGGTCGTGGATAAAAATAGTTTGATATAATATCTTATTAATTTTGTAGTGGTCAGTTCAGCAAATGACAGCTTTGGTTGGGAAACCCACGCTGGGGATGATGGATCACTACATGACATACTGGGCCTGTCAGAGGCTAAGAACGGGTGTTTGTCACAGAGTGTGGTCAAGCTATGATTAGGCCAAAGGTTAACGAACTTACCGTCAAAAGGTCTGTAATCTAGGCAAAGAGGGGCTCTCCACCAAAACAGAATTTCCTTGACCTTTAAACCCCACGCCTTCTTCTTTTTAAAATGGTTTCCGGAAGCAGGGTTTGATGGTTGTAGAATGAGAGCCGTTGTCCGAATACTGGCCATTTACCTTTTCTTTCTTTCTTTCTTTCTTTCTTTCTTTCTTTCTTTCTTTCTTTCTCTCTCTCTTTCTTTCTTTCTTTCTTTCTTTCTTTCTTTCTTTCTTTCTTTCTTTTCTTTCTTTCTTTCTTTCTTTCTTTCTTTCTTTCTCTCTCTCTTTCTTTCTTTCTTTCTTTCTTTCTTTCTTTCTTTCTCTCTTTCTTTCTTTCTTTCTTTCTTTCTTTCTCTCTTTCTTTCTTTCTTTCTTTCTTTCTTTCTTTCTTTCTTTCTTTCTTTCTCTCTTTCTTTCTTTCTTTCTTTCTTTCTTTCTCTCTTTCTTTCTCTCTTTCTTTCTTTCTTTCTTTCTTTCTTTCTTTCTTGTTCTTTCTTTCTTTCTTTCTTTCTCTCTTTCTTTCTTTCTTTCTTTCTTTCTTTCTTTCTTTCTTTCTTTCTTTCTTTCTCTCTTTCTTTCTTTCTTTCTTTCTTTCTTTCTTTCTTTCTTGTTCTTTCTTTCTTGTTCTTTCTTTCTTTCTCTCTTTCTTTCTTTCTTTCTTTCTCTCTTTCTTTCTTTCTTTCTTTCTTTCTTTCTTTCTTTCTTTCTTTCTTTCTTTCTTTCTTTCTTTTCTTTCTTTCTTTCTTTCTTCCTTTCTTTCTTTCTTTCTTTCTTTCTTTCTTTCTTTCTCTCTTTCTTTCTTTCTTTCTTTCTTTCTTTCTTTCTTTCTTGTTCTTTCTTTCTTGTTCTTTCTTTCTTTCTCTCTTTCTTTCTTTCTTTCTTTCTTTCTCTCTTTCTTTCTTTCTTTCTTTCTTTCTTTCTTTCTTTCTTTCTCTCTCTCTTTCTTTCTTTCTTTCTTTCTTTCTTTCTTTCTTTCTTTCTTTCTTGTTCTTTCTTTCTTGTTCTTTCTTTCTTTCTTTCTTTCTCTCTTTCTTTCTTTCTTTCTTTCTCTCTTTCTTTCTTTCTTTCTTTCTTTCTTTTCTTTCTTTCTTTCTTTCTTCCTTTCTTTCTTTCTTTCTTTCTTGTTCTTTCTTTCTTTCTTCCTTTCGTTCTTCCTTTCTTCCTTCCTATATTTGAAGTGTTACCTGTAATGTTACATGTAATGATTAGCCCAAAATGACGGAACGAGGTTATGTTTCTTACATTGACTATGATACACTATTCAACCATTCTATTGACAAGTTGTATTTGTTGAATACAACTCAAAGTCTAAAACCAATATTTTCTTGCATCCATGAACATTATGGGGTCATAAAGAAGAAAAAAGGGGGTCATTAGGAGGGCATTGCATTTAAATGGGCCATTGAGCGGTAACTAGCCAAACATGGACAGTATCTAACCATATATGGTCAGTAACAAGCCATACACGGGGATTAACAAGCCATACGTGAGCAGTAACTTGCTAAACATGGGTAGGGACACGCCATACATGGGCAGTGACAAGCCATACAGTGACAAGGAACAGTAATAAGCCATACAGGAACAGTAATAAGCCATACAGGAACAGTAATAAGCCATACAGGAACAGTAATAAGCCATACAGGAACAGTGATAAGCCATACATTTGCAGTTACTAGCTAAAATTAGACAGGCCATAGCTTTCTTTTCATTGGCAGGCCTTAGCTTCCTGTTCATGGGCAGGCCACAGCTTCCTGTTCATGGTCAGGCCATAGCTTCTTGTTCATGATCAATTCATAGTTTCCTTTTCACGGGCAAACCATAGCTAGTTGGGTCAAATTTAACGATGTAACAACACACACGTACACAATGATCTACTATCTGTCATGTCATAGATTCGGTCGATGTTTGTTCTGTAGTCTATCCAACATACAACATTTAGTTCAACTGTAACTACTTCAGTTATGTTTCATTCTAAAATTCCGCCCCTGTAAATATGTTTGTATTTCTCACTGGACATGTTCAAGAGAAGTTCTCTTGTTTAAAACTCTGCATTCTCATATCAAAGGATTGAATCTGATGGATAAGGCGCATTAAAATCTTAGTTTGTTCATTTGTTTCGGTTTCGTGTCTCAACTTCCTTGAGCCACCTCCTTTGAATCCCCCTGTTACAACATCCCCAACCCTCCTCCCCGGTTACAAGTCCCACTCATTTAGCCTTCCATTGTTTGCATGATAACTTGATCTACTCTGAACCAAAGCCCTGACGTCACCGCGCGTGCACAGATTGTGTCCCTAGCGGCTTTCCTAGTTTGTTTACAGATTGCCACGATTATCTGTAATCGATTCGGTTATACATTTATTTGGTCGAATTGGATCAGATGGTGATAATCATTTTAATACGGAGGACATTCAGGATGGTTTTTATTACGTTGATAGATTATGATCAAATGTAATGGTCAGTATGGTCAGTCATGATGGATCCATGTCTGTGTTATTCAGTCATGATGGATCCATGTGGTGGTCAGTCATGTTGGATCCATATGGTGGTTAGTCATGGTGGATTCATGTGAAGGTCAGGTATTGTGGATCCATGTGATTCTCAGTTATCATGGATCCATGTGAAGGTCAGTTATGTTGGATCCATGTGATGGTCAGTTATTTTGGATTCGTGTAATGGTCAGTTATCACGGAACCATGTTGTGGTCATGCTTTATATCTAATTGCAAGTTAAACTCGATTTCTTTTTGCTTTTTTTAAAATAAACAAGAATATAAACATACAACGGACAGAAAAGCAACGATCCTAATCATAAGTACATGGTTTTCATAGTTTTCAGTTCAGAGGATGTATTGGCGTTGAACATCGGACCAAAGAGATCACATGACCGATGTAATGGCGTTGAACATCGGACCAAAGAGATCACATGACCGATGTAATGGCGTTGAACATCAGATCACAGAGATCACATGACCGATGTAATGGCGTTGA